CTTCAACACTATTGTAACTCGAGTACCCTTGGAAAATTTCCCTTTTCAACACTGGGTTACTCAGGCCCACCATAACTTTACGTAATAGCATGTACTCAGAGAGGTCGCTATCACAGGTGGGACATTTAAATTCACACTCCACTGCCTCTGCGAAGCATTGTTGAAAGTACCTTTTCATGGGCTCCTCTTCACCTTGTTTGCTGTTGAAAAACTTGTTCCATTTCACAGCTTGGTTTGACGACTGAAGAACCACTCCACTGATGGCGTCCAGGGCTTCCTTGGGCGAGAGCTGCTCTCACTGGGATATCTCGAGTCAATCACCCTTTGGAGTGCAGGGACGCAGTTCAGGCGAATGTGGAGTGTGGCCACCAGTTGTGACCATCTGTTCAACATCACCCACGACTCCATGGACCGCCTCCATGTCCTAAACGCCGCTGCTGACATTTCTGCCTCACACTTCTCTGGAGCGACCGCTGCTGGGGGCTTCATGACCGGCGTAGGAGCATGACTGGGGCCGCCAGTAGCCAGAGATGCCATCTGAGCCATCATTACACTCATGGTCTGCTGCTGGGCGGGCGTGGTGTTCCCCACCGGTGTAGAGATGCCCCAGCGTCCCCTTGAGGGCGTCGAGAATTGTATAAGTGTAGGGACCATGTTGGCATCTTCATTAGGGCTGTTATGGCGTGTCCGGCCCTGCATAATACTCATTGCGCCATGTGAGAGGTTTGAATAATACACCAGGTTCTTTGGAGACTTTACTCTTGCGAGCGCCAGACAGTAACTGCCGATCTCGGCACTGCCACAGACAAACTCCCGCCTTCCCACATGGGAAAACATATTGTACAATGTTACTCCATCTTACAATCTTACAGTGTGTGAAGGGTCTAGTTACTTAATTTTTTTTATTGTTGAAAACAAAAGTTTTATTATTTTGGGAGTTATTATGAAAGAAGTGTGGAATGAGTGGCTCTTATATTGTCTTTGTTTTCAGGTCATAAGGGTGAACCATCAGCAACACAGATTAACCAGTTAGTGACGTGGATGTTGGAGCATCCTTGTATTGATGCCAGTGAGACAAGTGAGAGGAGACGTTCTCATGAAGACACTTCTACATCTGCCGCCGCCGCCGCCGCTGCTGCTGCTGCTGCTGCCGCTGCTGCTGCTGCTGCTGCTTCAGGAGCAGCTGCTGTTGCTGCACAGGTAAATACATAAATAAGTCATTAAAATGATATAGTGAAAGTTCATAGTAACTTGTATAAAGATACTGTATCTTTGTTAAGTAATTGAGCTTTTTTATGATGCTGAATACCTAAATATTGTAATGTATCCCTGCAACAAATAGATTTAGGTGGAGCAGCCATGGCCACCTCCTGGTGGTGTGGATAGGTAAGTGGTTAAGGAATTTAACACTTTGCTTCACCTGGCTAACTGCTCAGGCCTCTCATGGTCCTTGAAGCACACTCAGGAGAACTGTTAGCAGAATCTCCAGCCCCTGGAACTCTCCAATTCCTGGAAAGAATTTTGAGCCTTTCAGAGAATTCTGGGATAAAACGCCATTTTGAGCATAGTAACACCTCTCCGAGGATGAAATCGTGTGCATTTTCCGGAAAAGTTCCCCCAAAATCTCTCCGTTCTGGGCCTGTCGAGAGATTGCATCATGTTCCAACGCATCATGCTCTTGCATCACGACACACTTAGTTCATCTTCTACTGCCATGTAGAAGGTTGTTCCCTTGCTCGCTGCTATTTTTGTGGACAATTTGTTTGTACAGTAACTACTTTACTGTACCAGAACACAATTAGCCAAAAATACAGTGTTAAAGCAGAGTTAAGACATAAAAAGTGATTCCAGTTAAGTATACTTTACTCTACATTCAGCAAGTGGTAAAGTTCTGTACATAGCAGATTAGACAATGTATGCTAGTGTGTAGAGGGTGTATGTGCAGTGTACAGTGCATGTGCAATCCCTCCTTCATGGAGTGAGAAGGGAGTTACAGCTAGCAACACCTGCTACAGGAGACGGTACAGGACAAAGGCAGTGATGTGGGATGAAGTAAAACTTGTTTGCCCATTAAACAAGCTCTGATCAACTCCTTTCACAAGATATCTGAAAATGACATAAGGAAGCTATTACAATACAGTAATAACATAAAACAGAACATAAAATGAATGTTCTTGACAATGAAAACTATATCAGGCAGGTCATCCTGTATCACCATATCATTTGGCCTGCCTGCATCACAAGCTCAAGATGACAGCATCTGTTGGTGAGCACAGTACAGTGGTCCCTCGGTTAACGAACACAATTCGTTAACCGAATCCATTGTTTCAATGGGATATTGGGTAATCGGTTCCAGCTCACAGAAAAGTACATACAAAGTAAAGAAAAATGCAGTAAAGTACAATTACTTTGAGGTGTGTATGTAGCATGTTGCTGGTTGATGATGATGATGATGATGAGAATTAGAAGTGGGGGTGGAGGAGAAGGGAGAAGAGAAGGCAGTGGGGATGGAGGAGAAATCACCTTTCAGGGGACCCATGCTTGATGCAGTAATTTCACCAATATAATTTTATGTTCACAAGGTGTAATTCAAGATCATTTTATTTAAATCAACACTGCACTGTGCTATATATTATCAATATGTTTACTAATTTCAGAATGACCAATAATTTTAATATAAAAAATGCAAAAATATTAAAGAGATCAACTTTCTTGATATTTACTCCACTAGAAACGAATGTAAACATAGAACAGATTACAGTGGTCCCTCGGTTAACAAGCACAATCAATTCTAGAAGGTTGCTCGTTAACCGAAAAACTCGTTAACCGAAACCATTGTTTCAATGGGTTTTTAGGTAATTGGTTCCAACTCACCGAAAATTGCCTAAATTCAACAAAAAAGGTAGAAAAGTACACTTACTTTAAGGTGTGTATGTAGAAGGCTCCTGGATGATGATGATGATGATGATGATGATGGGAATTAGAATGCGGGTGGAGGAGAAGGGAGAAGAGAAGGCATTGGGGTGGAAGAGAAGTCACCCCATGGCTCCATTTCACCCATAAAATTTTAGTTCTCTTGGTGTAATTCAAGATTATTTTCTTTAAATCAACACTGCACTGCATTATATATTGTCAATATGTAAAATAAATTTCAAAATGTCCAATAATTTGCTTGCAAACACAGGAAAAAAGCATTTAGTTGAAGAGAGTCTCAAGCAAGATGTTACCTCCACTGAAAAGACACAAAGACTGACGCCTGTATGGTGTGTTGAGAGGCTGGATGGCGCGCATAAAACTAGTTTCCTTACCTTCAATTATGTTCAATAATTGTTAAAATGACTAAAAAATTTAATATTAAACTTTTAAAATTATTGAATAGTGTAAACTTCTTGATATTTGCTAAAATGGTAAGGAATTTAAGCCCTAGAACCGATTACTGTACTGGCGGACTAATACTACAGCTGGTGGACCGCCAAATACAAGCGAAAACATGTTGAGGTCGGCTCATAAGAAACTCGTTAATCGAGGGATTGCTCGTTAACCGAAGTTAAGAATCTTATGGAAGGTAACTCCTTAACCGAAATCTCGTTAACCGAGGCGCTCATTAACCGAGGGACCACTGTACTGAATTGGCAGACTAGCCCATCAGCTGATTAGCTGATGCTCACAACAAAACGTGTTTATCGTAAGAATTTCGTTAATCGAAGTTTTGTTCGTTAACCGTATTGAAGATCCTTATGGGAGGTAATTCGTTAACCGAAATTTTGTTAATCGTACCGTTCGTTAACCGAGGGACCACTGTACAGTGTTTACAGTAGTACAGTATATTTTGTTATTTACAATATATTTTACAGTGGTGTTTGCATAATGAATACAGCTCTATGTCTGTCCGTGCAAGATGCGTAGTTGAGACTTTTAGAAAACTTTCCCCAGCACCGCAAACATTCTGGGTTTGTGCAATTGTGTCTGCCTGTGCACGATGCACAGTTTAAACTCGCAGAAAACTTTTCCCAGTACAGTATCTGGAAAATTTCCGGGATGTGTGATTTTTTCTGGGGAAGAGTAATTTGTCTCGATACTTTACCAGGAAATCTCATTCCCGAAAGAGCTCTGCACGAATTAATCCGGCTAACGGGGATCACTTTAATGATACTGTATTTTTATTATTTTCTAACAAATATAAATGGGGTACTTTATATGTTTTATGTCAGCAGACGCTGTAAATGCCATTTTACGCTTTGGAAATGACTCTGCAATAGTGATTTTATTTGGTATGTACAGTACTGTATAAAGATGAGTTAAAGACTTAAGAGATTGGAAGGGGCAGACATGTTTAGGAAGAAAGAATTGGATATGTTGGAAGTTTTTGTAAATTTTAGGCTTATAGTAATATATTTTCCCAGTTAATTAATATGCAGGTTGGTGGATGTACAGTCACTCAAACAACTATCTCTACTTGGGGGGATCGATGAATTTCAGAATGAATACTGTGATTCCTGTTGTCTAAGTAGGGTTGCCAAAATCCTCCGTCTGTTATATAATATTTTTGTTCAATCCAGAATGCTACGTCTAGCTTATACCTAGGTATGTTAATGCCTAGCCTTTTTCAACACAATTTTAATTGCTATTTTTTTGACTGACTGTTCATCAGGTCTTCCTCAGTGGAGACTATACCCCTGATTGGTGACGGGAAGTATTTCTTCAGCATGTTGATGTGGAACTTCTTTCGTCGAGATCTCACCTGGACGATGTAAGTCAGATCCGAGACACGCTCTGCAATGTCGAATGGACCTTTCCACTGAGCCAGTAACTTATTGCGCATCGTAGGCAACAGAACCAGGCACTGATCACCTGGCTGGAAACAACGAAGCTTGGCCTTCTTGTCATAGTAAGTCTTCTGGACCTCTTGAGCCTTTATCAGCTCTTGCTTTGCCAGTTGACAGGTTTCTTGGAGACGATCAGCTAAGTCAGTGACGTATGTATAAGTGGTCTTGACTTCCGGATCTGGTTCCTCATCATCTCACAGTTCCCGAAGAACCTCTAGAGGTCCCCGGACGGACCTGCCGTACATAAGCTCGAAGGAAGACACTTTGAGTGAGCTCTGTGGCGCCTCTCGGTACGCGAACAGAAGTGGGGCAATGTAGCGCGGCCACTCCATAGGTTGTTCGGCTGCCATCCTCCTGAGCATTTTCTTCAGCGTCCCATTGAACCTTTCACAGAGTCCGTTGCACATCGGGTGATAAGGTGTTGTCTTTAGCCCCTTTACCGATAACAGCCGCAACAACTCCTCCATCATGGCAGAAGTAAACTGGGTCGCCCTGTCACTGAGGACTTGTTTGGGGGATACCGACCCGACAGAAGATTTCCAACATGGCTTCTGCAACAGTCGTGGCCTCAATGTTCCTCAAAGGCACAGCCTCGGGCCACCTCGTGCTAAAGTCAACCAAGGTGAGAATATGCTTTGCCCCATCGCTCTCCCTTGGGTTTATCGGCCCCACAATGTCCACCGCCACCCTCTCAAAGGGTTCAGAGATCAGTGGAAGGGGCTGTAGAGGTGCAGGTGGGACTCGCCCTCGATCACTGGTTTTCTGGCAAACATCACAATAGCGGACTAGCCTAGCGATCTCCTGGCCCATCCTTGGCCAGAAGAATGCCGCACTGATGCGATCAAAGGTCTTCTTTTTACCCATATGGCCGCCAAGAACAGTGCAATGACTTAGCTTGAACACAGCCAGGCGGTACTTGGAAGGAACCACGAACTGCAGTCGTGTTTCCCCCAGAGACGTCACAGTCTCTCGGTAGAGACGGTTCCTCTTCTTTACCAACCTCGTTCGATTCCCAAATGTCTCCTTGATGGTCCCAACCATCAAACTCTTGTGTACTGAAGTGAGCGTGCTGTCATGCTCTTGCTCTTGGACGACATCCTGACTATTGATGAGATCAGACGATGTGGCAATAGCCAATGGGGTGACTCGAGGTTTAGTTTGAGCCATATCCCGAGTGACTGCAGCAGCATTAACTTGGGTCAAAGCGGCAGCATCAGTTTGGGTTGCAGCATCCACTGCACAACTGTTTCTTGCTCCCTTGATATTTCCAATGATGAGATCATATATAGGTTCCCTCAGCACTGCTGCAGTGACCCAACCTGAGAAGAAGGGGGTGTCCACCTCAATCTTGGCCACTGGAACCGTTTGAATGTAACTATTGGCTAATTTAACACTTACTTGTGCTCCGGTGTATTGATGTGGCTTCACCAATTCCTTCCTGACAATACAGCCTGATGCCCCACTATCTCGCATGGCAGTCACTGGAACTCCTCCAGCGTATCCAGGCTTAACAAGAAAGGTGGAGTGACCCCTCGAGGAGACGGTGGAGGTGGCAGTTAGTCAGGAGGTGTGGTGGGGTAGACCTGATTCGGTATGAGCCCCTGCTTCAGGTTGCATGACGATCAGCCCTGCTGGAAGGTCAGGCCACTCCCCGTCCACAGTTTGAACATCGGCGGCTTCCTGCTGCTGGTTATTTCATGGATTATTATTGCTGGCACCTTGGCCTATGAATTGAGCCACGGCCGCCGGTCCCATCGTGAATTGTTACCCGGGCGCCAACTGTCCTGGTACTTCGGGTGGCCTTGGTACTGCTTCTGCTGCTGTTTCTGTTGCTGCCTTTGCGGTTGTGGTTACGGGTTATTTCCCTGTTGCCTGGATGGGTTCGGTGGCTGTTTCTGTAGAGGTTGTTGACTTTGTTGGGTCCCTGCCAACTCCCTCTTCGACCACCGCCTCCGAGTGTGGTACCCGAAAGCGTTGAAATGAGCGTCTGCTTTGCTTGCCATTTCCTTCGACGTCTTAACTCCATTGGCCCTGATTTGAGCCACAAGTTCAGGAGGACAAGACCTTTCAAACTGCGTGCGCACCATTAAGTCTATAACACATAGTCCCTTAAATGTTCCTGGAACTGTGCAGCCGTTTCATTTTCTTCCAACATTGCCCTGTTGAACTGATGCCTGGCCTGCTCAGTAGTCAGCCCATATGCCCGCAGCAGTGCAGACTTCATGTCAGGGAATTTGTTTTCAGGACGCTCTAGTCTTCGAAGAATCCCTAAAGCTTTCCCATCAAATAGGCTCAGGAACTCTAATTCCTTAATGCTGTCATCAAGCTCGTAGGCTTCTGCGAGATGCTCAAACGGGAAGTGTACATTTCCATGGATTCGCCCTCCTTAAAGGTGGGCATCTGGGGAAATTTCCTATAAGTGACGTTTTGAGTGGGAGTTCCTGACGGAGAAGAATTTTGGTTCCTTTCCGCTAAGGCCAGTTGGAACTTCCGTTCCGTTTGTCTCTCTTCTCGTTCCAGCTTCTTTTCTTCCTTCTGAAAGTCTAGCTGGGCTAAGAGTTGTTCATGCTCGCGTTGCTTGTCTTCTCTCTCCTCAGCCTTCTCCATGTATGCAACCGCCTCAGCCCCCTCCAGTCCGAGGTCACGTGCTTCCTCAAAAGCCGCTGCACGAGCTGACATGGTGTAGGTGTGGGCGATACAATTGTGCAATTATCCACGGTCTGTGTCCCTGTTCGGGCGCCAATTGTTAAGTTTAAATGCAAGAAAGTGGTTTTCTTACCGTAGAACTCAGTTACCTTCACACTGGTTACTCACCCAGGAGATTATGGTGTATCACTACGTAGAATTTCACTCTGTTTCCGGCATTCAATGCGTTGTGTACTTGATAAATGATGATTAATGAATTCCATTAACTTCCAACATCCATCTAAGTTATTGGTTATACTTGTCATAACCAATCAGTCATTACCCTTGGTAATAATAATAATAGAGGGGTCACAGATACGGGCAGATAATTGCACTTAAGTTTATTTGGCACAATTCCATACACTGGACTTATAATTTGCATGGATAGGTCAGTCACTCACATTCACGCCACATTACCGTAAGTTATAAGGGAGAGTTTGTCAACCTGGAGAATGTCGCTGGACTTAACAACAATCTCGGGGATTTGCACACACAGACTCGTAGCACTGGTAGGACTGTATGGCCCCTGTTCTAAATCCGCGGAGCAGGAGGTCTTCTATAACCCAAGGTCTAAAGCCTACTGGCGAAAATGTGGTTTTGAGGCGTGAGGTGACCCCTATGGGCTGGCCGGGTACCTTATCTCTACCTAAACAAACATTTGGGATGGGTTGTGCGGGAGGCCCAGCGCAACCCATGACACCTGTGCTGGAGGTGTATACATACTGTGCATGTAACAGCCTCCAAACTCCTCCAGTATGTGCTGTTTCCTAGAGGGAGGCTGTTGGGTCACTCTACTTAACCATCATTATTCTTGTTTTCTCTCTTACTTGTACACTTAATATAAAAATTATCACATTCATATCTTTTTTTTTTTTTTTTACTTTTTAAGTTATCTGTGCAGGTTACTGTACAGTCAACCCTCACTTTACGTGGTTAATGTAACCCACAGGGTACCGCGGAAAGTGAGAAATGCGTAAAGTGAATAACATAACAAATGGGATTAAATGAAATAGAGACCAGCTGACCCCCAAACTCCACTTTTTCCAACACAATACCTATGTTCTAGTAAAAATAACATCTTAATTTTATGATGGTACATGCACACAATTAATACTTAAGAGAAATAGAGAAATACAGTCGCCAAGTTAATGTCCATTCAAATAATGGACAAGACTCCCTCCCCCTCTTCTCACACTACACTGCTGGCTCTTCCCTCTGAGAAATTTTGGGGGGAAAACCAGGTATAGTAATAAATAATACCTCAAACTAAAGTTAGGATAATATAATTGACATTGCTGGATTCCTTGTAAGACCAGGAATATTTTGAATATAAATGTCATATATTTTGCACAAAAGATAACATATTTACTCAGAGTAAACATTATATCTAAAATTTGTATGTCTAATGCAAAATCTATGATGTTTATATTCAAAATGATCATCAAATTGTAAGAATTCCAGCAATGTAAATTATATTCTGGCCGGGTAATTTGTATGAATTTTATGAGCTAAAACAAATATCTTCAGTTAATAAAAAAAAAAAATATTCTTCACAACACTATCTGTCAATCAAAGTACCCCACCTTGCCTCCCCCCTCTTCCAACCGTGCCAGATGGTCGGTCGGTCCCAACCCTCCCCCCCACCCCCCACCACTCCTCCCTTCAAGAGAAAGGTTGGGTGAAAAAACTAGATTTTAACATTTAGTATTAAATAATACCTCAGATTAAAGTTAGGATAATATAATTGACATTGCTGGATTCCTTGTAAAACCAGGAATATTTTTAATATAAATGTCATATATTTTGCATAAAAGATAACATATTTACTCAGAGTAAACATTATATCTAAAATTTGTATGTCTAATGCAAAATATATGATGTTTATATTCAAAATGATCATCAAATTGTAAGAATTCCAGCAATGTAAACTATATTCTGGCTGGATAATTTGTATGAATTTTATTAGCTAAATAAAAAAATTATACTTCACCCGTGTAAAGGGGTACACCCACCGCAGAATGTGAGCATCCTGGGTTCTGGCAGGGCACTGCGTAAACACGGAATGTGGGACCGCGTAAAGTGAGGGTTGACTGTATTAAAAGTTGCTTCCCTGCCATTAAAGGGGTCATCTTTTATAGTTATTTTATTTTTACTGTCAAGGAGTATGGAATTTATTAATTTAACTGTATTTTATGTAATGTTTATACATATTTTATTTCTTTGCAGTTGATTGATAGAGCTGATATTCAAGATCTTAGCGGCAGACGAAGTAATGCAGGAATTCTTCGTAGAGGCTGTGTCGATATAAGATCTTTTATGGTGCCCACTAGACCTTCAGGTAATGTACAGCCTGGGTTGGTATAGGGGTGATACAGTGTGATGTGTCCAACACTCGACAAATGTAATAGGAATTTATTGATAGTAATCACCACAATAACTTTCTACAGTTCCATTGAACTGCTTGCTAAGGTGTGAGCTAAAACTGAAGGTTTCTTCATACACTAAATTAGACCAAACCCTTACTAAGTGACTCACATTACAACACTGTCCAGTCCATTAATGCCTTACACTTTCCCATCACATTATATTCTCTAGAAAGGGAGTTTGTGAGGTGAGAGTTACCATTGTTGAGCAGTGTGGCTCTATAGAGGTGTGAACTGCAGTTTTCAGTAGAGTTTTATACCCTCCTTCCTGCTGACTCTGGGTAGCTGTAGTTGTATGTCTGTCTTTGCTACCCCTAAAATGTTCTACACTACTGAGGGTATACGCAAACACTTGTCATCTTGATAATAGGTTCTTATTCTCGTACGGGAGTCAAATACAGAGGAACAAATAAACTAGCTTCCACACCAAAAGGACTAGCGATCTCAACTCCCTGTATCACTCCGCGCTGGCATGTACAGATGCCAGCGTTCACAAGCTGAATACATAATATGTAAATATGATAATACAGTCATGCGCCGGTTAACGTCCAACCGAACAACGTCCGATCGCATATGCGTCCGTGCTCCCCCCCAAAAAACAAACACCACGTGACGCCTGCTGGGCCACCACTCCACGACCCCCTGACGGAGACACGATGATCCTCCCCATACTGGTCAGATATTATGTGTTAAAGGAATATGCTTCCTTACTTATGCTTTTCTAAGCATTTGCCTACAGGTGAAATGTTAACCTACATCTATTGAGGATAAAATCTTTCACCTACAAATTGACAATAACACATTTGCTGTAATCAGACATATCTAGTTGCCTCAACAATTGCAAGTTGCAATTGGGGTTGCAATTTCAAATTCTGTGGCATTACTAAATATAGTAAAGTTTCTGGTGCACTCTAAGATAAAGAGAGAAAACGGAGGACTCAGGCGTCCTGATGTGAGAGAAAACGGACTCGTGTGACAGGGACCAAATAAAAAAAGCATAGCTACAAGTTTTGTGGACTACAGTATTATGGTACAGGGGTCCCAAGTGACAGCACTAGGATCCCGCTTCCTCTATCAAGGAATAAACAATTAAAATTTAAATTGAAAAAAAACATTCAAATAAATTACTATCTTACAAGAATCCCTCCAATGTAAGTTATATTCATCCAGGTCATTTGGGTGGAAAATTATGAGAAGAGCTTAGTCACTCTTAAGTAATGATAAATAAACACGCAGGCAGGCCTTCAGCGCCAACTGTCAAATCTTATCTCAAATAAATAAACAAACAAACGCCAGACATTCTGTCACCTCACCTCCCGCCCCCTCTTCCCACCCTGGTGATTTCTTTATGTTTATTTTATATAATATCTCAGACTAAAGTTAGGATAATATAATTTGCATTGCTGAAATCCTTGCAAGACAGAGATTAATTTGAATATAAGCGTCATATATTTTGCTCAAGATATAAAAATGTAGTACATTAGTGTACAATACTGTAGTACATTTTATAAAAAGTTTTTCAACTGTATTTTTGGGTAGATTTACATAAATTTCTAGTGCAAAGCTGGAGTGCACATGTACTAATTTGATTACGGTACTAAAATTGTTTTGTCTAGTGCGAAATTATAGCATGTTTATATTCAAATTAATCAGTATGTTAAAGGATCCCAGCTATGTTAATTATATTCTCATAGGTCATATCACTGGCATTTTAAAATGAGAGAAGCTTAGTAGGACTGTTAAATAAACACAGAGACCTTCGCCTCAAACTTATCACCTCAACCCCCCCAGCCAGGCTTTTAGGCTTACAGTTTTTATCTTATATAATATCTCAGACTAAAGTTAGGAGATTATAATTTGCATTGCTGGAATCCTTGCAAGACAGCCAATAATTTGAATATAAACGTCATATATTTTGATCAAGAGAGAAAAATTGTTGTACATTTGCGTACAGTACTGTAGTACATTTTATGAAAAAGTTTTTCAACTGTATTTTTGGGTAGATTTACATAGATTTCTTGAGTGCAAAGCTGGAGGGCACATGTACTAATTTGATTACGGTACTAAAATTGTTTTGTCGAGTGCAAATTATAGCATGTTTATATTCAAATTAATCAGTATGTTACAAGAATCCCAGCTATGTTAATTATATTCACCCAGGTAATTTCACTGGGTTTTTATAAAAGAGAAGCTTAGTCACCTAAGAACTGATAAATATACACGCGTTAGACCTGGGACTGTGCCAACTGTCAAACGTACTACTGTACCTCACCTCCCCCCACGCCCCCTCGCTTGCTCCCACCCTCTCTCTCCCCCATCTGCTTGGCGCTGCTGGAATCCTTGTAAAACAGTGAATAATTATAATATAAACGTCATGTATTTTGCACAATATATATATATATATATATATATATATATATATATATATATATATATATATATATATATATATATATATATATATATATATATATATATATATATATATATATATATATATATATATACAGAGGTCAAGAAGCTCACTTCCTCACCACAAGGACTGGCAGTCTTTACTCTCTCTATGTATTACTGGGCGCTTGCATGTACAGATGCCAGCATTCACAAGCTGAATACATAAAGTATAAATATGATAATTTATATACATAACATGGTGCATAATAAATGGGAATATTACATAGAATTAATACATGTTCTGTAATACTTTACTATACATAATTAATAAGAGTAATATAAGGATACACAGCTTAAGGTACTACTTTGTGTCCATATCATACACCTCCCTCCCCTCTATACGCTCATAGTTTCATCTTGAGCGGACCATTTTTTTCTGAGTCGCTCGGACCTGCGGAGTACTGGGGCAGAAACAAAAGGTGGGGATGGATTTACTGTAAGGACATCAACATTAGGTGGACTCTACTGGGGAAGGGTCAACACTAGGCAGCTCCACAGGTCGGAGGAAACGACGGTTCCTCCACCATACTCTACCACTAGGAAGACGCACTTGGTAGTCCCTGGACCGGCCAATACCCATGACAACCCCAACCTTGTCCCAGCGGTGAGATACCGGATCTTGAATCCTGACCTGCTGGCCGATACTCAACCTGGGAAGGGGGCGGGCATGACAGTCGTACCGAGCAGCAACATCTGCGGCTCGTTCTGCTGCACGGCGGTCACATTCCTCAGTCTTGGCCTGCCATTCTTGAGAAAAAGACTTGGGGTGGGCAGGAACACAAGACCTGAGATGATGTCCGTATAGAACCTGGGCTGGGGAGCGTCCGGTGAAGTTCGGGGTGTTGCGTAACTCCAACAAACCTCGATCGAATTCCTCGCAGTCGATATTTCCTGAGGGTGACACCTTAAGGATCAGGTGTTTAACAGTCTTGACTGCGGCTTCAGCGTGTCCATTCGCCTGGGGGTAGTGGGGCGAGGTCACGACATGACGGACTCCCCAACGGTCCATGAAGTCCCGGAATTCGTGGCTGGTGAACTGGGGTCCTCCATCATTCCTGAGGCGGAGGGGAACACCAACTTCTCTGAAGTAATGCCTGAAGTTCCGGATGGTAGCAGTAGCCGTTGTATCACTACCACAGGGGACGACAACAGGCCATCCAGACAATCGGTCGGCAATGACGAGGAAGGACGTCCCTGCCACTGCAAAAAAGCCGGCCGACTCAGACTCGAAGGGTCTTGAAGGGTTATCGTCGCACATTAAAGGTTCCTGTTGCTGGCTGGGTTGCAGAATTTGGCACGGCTCACAGGCACGGACGGTACTTGCAATGTCCGCGTCGATTCCGGGCCAAAATACAGTCTGCTTCGCCCGTCGCTTGGTGGCCTCCACTCCTCGATGGCTGTCGTGAAGGCGGGTCAAGGTACGGTAGCGTAGGGCAGTAGGAATGACTACTCGTGGACCATACAAGACGAGGTCTCCGTCACAATAGAGGTCCTCGCGTATCTTCCAGTACGGGAGTAGCGATTCGTGAAGGTCGTATCGGTTAGATGGAAATCCCTGAGACACACAGTCGACGAGCCGGATATAGGAAGGGTCGGCCCGGGCTGCGGTGCGGAGATCTTCAAGGGTCTTGTCTGCATCCGGTGCTGTAGACTCTTCTGATGTGAAGACGGCCTTCAATGAAACTACTGACTTGAGGGATGCAGCAGCTGTAGAACACAACATCTCGTCCTCTGGGGTGGGGCGACTGACAGGGGCGCGGGACAGGGCATCCGGGATGCACAACAGCTTACCCGCACGCCACACAGCCGTGAAGAGATAAGGCGAGAGCTTCTCTTTCAGACGTTGAAGGCGAGGATTCTCTACTGCATCCAAAGAGTAGTGATTGATTATAGGTATAAGAGGGCGATGATCCGTGAAGAGAGTGAAGTGCTGAAGTCCTATCAGGTAGAAGCGGCACTTCGCCATCGCCCAGACAACAGCCAACATCTCCAGCTCAATCGTGGCATATCGGGTCTCGGCGTCCGTCAGGAACCGGGATCCACACTGAATTAAGCGGAGTTGTCCACCGCCATGGTCCTGCAGAAGGACGTAACCAACGCCGTAGAGTCTGGAGGCATCAGTCTGGAGGACGGTGGGTAGGGCTGGGTCGTAACAGGCGAGGACAGGTGGACTTGCGAGGGCCTGCTTGACTCGCTGGAAGGCCTCTTGATGATCTGGGGTCCACAGGAATGTCCTCCTGGGGCTCAGCAGGGGACGTAACGGCTGGGCTGCGGCGGAGATGTCAGGTGAGAATTCAGCCAGCTGATTGACCAGACCCAAAAAAGAACGGAGGTCTGTCAGGTTGCCAGGGGTTGGAAAATCCCTGATTCCACTTAATTTCTCCGGGTCAGCTGAGAGTGTGTACCCACAGAAGTTCACTGATGGTGCGGCGACTACAAACTTGTCAGCGTTGAGGGTAAT